TTTCAGCATGATTTCACCTTTGTGCACCAGGGGAGGACCTTTGAGTTCCCCAGGGTCATGTTTTATTGCAGAATCTATTCAAAATGGGACGTTCAGTGTATACATTCTGCTGTAAATCATGCCCCCATATTTCAGCCACTTACAATGCACAGTTCCTTTTCTTAACAAACAAAAATATAGCAAGAAATCTGAAATCAAGAAGTGCTGTAGTATTCTGCACATTCTGGCTTTTGGTAGGTTGCCCCTGTTTAGAAAAGGCATGGGATTTTTATTAGCATCACAAACTAGGGGAAGTGTACATGAAATCTTATCACATACCATAACTGCATTGCTAACTTTAACCTTAATGTATCCCTCAATACACTGGAATTCTCACTGCATGCAGAAAAGATTGTACAACTCACTATGCACAAGAACGCTTTGTTTTTAATTCCGGTGCACAAGGATATATTATTAGAAGCTTGAAGTCCACTATTCGAGGAAACTGCATTGTGTACATACAGTGTTATAAGACTGTTAAAAGAGGTGATAGTAGAAGCAAATGAAATGCAACGTGACAAAGGTGTTCATCTGCAAGTACCCTAACTATGCAATGTCTTTCACTTCAATCTATGTGCGGAAAATGAGTGTTATAAGTTTGAAGCAATGAAAAACTATTTTAAGACTGGCAAGTAAAATTTCCAAGTCAAATTAATGCATGTTTCTCCTCCTGCACATTATTCTTGATGGCACAGTCGGACTCAATCCCTACCAATTATTTTCATTTGGACAGATTGCTAGGTTTTTAAGGGGATGAAGAATGGTTGAGAAATGTACTTTCCAAATTGCACTGTTCAGTCTTGATTGTCATCCCTGCTGTCACACGAAAGCACCCTGCAAAGAGGATCTGCTGATACAAGTGGTCAGAACTACACAAAAAGACTCAACTCGGCTGCTCTCACCTGCTTTGGCATGACGATTGCAAAAGGATTATGGAATTTAGTAGAACATCCTGTGCATAGTTGAACCATCTATTCACGTCCGCAGATCTACATAAGTAGACGTGCAATCTGAATTGCAGCTCCATTTATGGTGAATGGCAACATGATATTGGCCAAGAAGTCTTACGGCACCAACAATTGGAGAGTTCGTATTTAGGGCACCTCAAGACCATTGTTAGTTATAAAATCAGAATTGTATAAAATATATGGATTCTTTCCATGGGTGATATGGGGTAAACTGTTGGTGAGTGTACTGTAACTGTAGGATTTCGGTTTAGACTGCCACCAAGACTCGAGGGAATCTGAAATGCGCTGTGAGATAACCTGTGTTTCAGGTTTTCTTTAATTCCCATCCAAGTATAAAAACGATACGGGGAAAACAGAACGTGGCATTATGTTCCATTTTAGTTTCCTAACCCAGTTTTGTAACTGTGCTGAATGCTAGTGGGCCTTTCTAGTTCTGGAAAAGCCACTTTTTAATATGAATAATTGTATTATTTCACTTTCTGTAACTTGGAATGTTGTTTTCACGAATGTGCCGAGCAAACATTTGGAAACGGTCCAAGCTCGCTAGAGAAGTTAATCATCCAGGAGGGATTTCCAATTTGTTTTGCTGTCATGCTGACTGGCTTTGCAGTGATGCAACATGCGGTTCCATCAGCATTTTTAGTCTGCTGCCTAGGAAGGTATCCATGAATCTTCCCTGTCTTTCAGTAGCTGCAATTGGAGGCTGCTCAGGCCTGGAGTGCTGGTTTCACTGGTGCAAATGAAGCAAGCAGGAAGCAAACCTTTAGCAATCACTCATATATAGATAGCAGGGGAAACCTTCACTGTTGATTGCTTTGCGTAAGGGAGATTTTGCATTTGAGAATCAGATTTAGTGCTTTCTCTTTGGCTAATTAACTCTGCACTTAATTAAATGAAACTGTTGAATTGAATTCAACTCCCTTTTTTGAAAAGGGAGAAAGATGGGATGGTGCAGCATATTAGGCATTTAGTAGGAGAGAGGACTTACTTTAACATTCTCTAGTGTTCTACTTCCCACCCTGTTTTGCCTATTATCGGTAAAACAACCAAAAGTAAAGGTAAAGGTTCCCCTTGACATTTAGTCCAGTCGTGTCCGACTCTAGGGGGCGGTGCTCATCCTGTTTTCAAGCCATAGAGCCAGCGTTTGTCTGGAGACAGTTTCTGTGGTCACCTGGCGAGCGCAACTAGACACGGAACACCTTTTTTACCTTCCCACCGAAGTGGTACCTGTTTATCTACTCGTAATTTCATGCTTTTGAACTGCTAGGTTGGTGGGAGGAATTGCATGCTTTTGAACTGCTAGGTTGGAGGGAGCTGGGACAAGCGACGGGCACTCACTCCGTCATGTGGATTTGATCTTATGGCGGCTGGTCTTCCGACCTTGCAGCACAGAGGCTTCTGTAGTTTAGTCTGCAGCGCCACCACATCCCTAAAATGCTCCACAGTTTTCAGAGAGGTTTTTCATTAGTGAAGTAGGAAATTCTAATTTCTGCTCCAAAGTTTTCAGAGAGGTTATTCATTAGTGAAGTAGGAAATTCTAATTTCATTTCTGTGTATTTCTATGAACATTTGTAGTTAGCATACAGCTGGTTCCTGATACATTTGTGGATAGTTATAGTCCGCAAGAGTTACTAGATTTAGGCAAAACAAAACTCAAGTCGATTCAAAAGCCAAAACAGTCTTTATTTTCTAATAATTCTTGTCTTTGTATAGATTTTACTTACACTCATATTAGTCCTACCATGTTTTCCCAAAAATAAGACAGGGTCTTATATTAAATTTTGCTCCAAAAATGTGTTAGGGCTTATTTTCAGGGGATGTTTTATTTTACAGTCCTGTCATCTTCTTCCAGTTGCTGCACAGTGGTAGAGGGCGGGGTTTCACTTAACTAGGGCTTATTTTTGAGGTTGGGTTTATATTACTAGCATCCTAAAAAACCATACTAGGGCTTATTTTCAGGTTATGTTTTATTTTCGGGGAATCAGGGTGCTCAACCAGTGGTTCCCAACCTTGGGTGGCCAGATGTTCTTGGACTAAAACTCTCAGAAACGTTCACCATGAGCAGCGCTGGCCAGGATCTCTGGGAGTTGTAGTTCAAAAACATCTGGGGAGACAAAGTTGGGAACCACTGTAATAAACCATTGGTTTTAGCAGGCTCTCTGTGCCTTAGATATTCACAACACAACAATAATTCATTGAATCAGTTCTAGATTGTACAGGCTTTTAACTTTTCCTTTTGTAAGATATGATGGCATAGAATTGCTAATGTTTACTTCTCTTGCTAATTATCATAGATTAGGCCTCCCCCCGCCCCCTCATACACAGTTTTAATTATGCATGTATCTTGGCAGTACTTGGTATGACTGTGATTTTGCTAAGGGAAGCGTCCTGTAACCAGTCAAGAGCTGTGTTTTCCTTAAAGGTGTGTTCTCAACTGTGTTTTAAAGTGTTATCCATTTGCATTCGATTTTGCAATTTTTAACCAATTTTACTTGAGTCCCATTTTGGGGAGGAAGGCAGGATATAAATCCAGTTTTAAAAAATAATCATAATATCAGGTTTGGTATTAGGCTTTTATGGAGAATATTTAGAATGCAATGTACAAGGTATGATTACATTTATTTCCATTAGAAAAGTAATTAGAAGAAT